GCTGAGCCTGCACAGCAGTGCTGTCGCCACCAGAGTCTGCGCGGCCCCATGTCACGACGCATCCATCGCCGAGAATGGCAGCGAAAGCGTAGGGAGTGGCCTGGATCTGCTGTACATCTTTTAGCTGACCCTGCACAGCATTACTGTCACCACCCTCACCGGCACCACCCCAGGTCACGACAGATCCGTCGCCAAGAATGGCTGCAAAAGCCATGGTGGTGGCTTGGATGTGCTGTACATTCTTGAGCTGGTGCTGCACGGCACCGCTGTCCCCACCCCAACGATCACCCCAGGTGAAGCAGGATCCATTGCCAATGATGGCAGCAAAAGCACCGGAAGTGGCTTGGATCTGTTGCACCTTGTTGAGCTGATCCTGCACCGCACTATTGTCACCACCACCGGAACGATCACCCCAGGTCACGACAGATCCGTCGCGAAGAATGGCAGCAAAAGCGAAGTCAGTAGCCTGAACCTGCTGCACATTCTTCAGCTGATCCACCACAGCACTACTGTCGCCACCGTAGCGAGCATCACCCCAAGTAACGACAGATCCATCGTCAAGAATGGCAGCAAAAGCGTAGTCAGTGCCTTGGATCTGCTGCACATTCTTGAGCCGATCGTGCACAGCACTGCTGTCACCACCAAAGCCGCTGGGACCCCACGTAACGACGGACCGATCTGCAAGAATGGCAGCAAAAACGTACCTAGTGGCTTGGAGCTGCTGTACATTCTTCAGCTGCTCCTGCACAGCACTACTGTCACCACCCTCTTCGGCATCACCCCAAGCCACGACAGATCCGTCGCCTAGAATGGCCGCAAAAGCGAAGGTGGTGGCTTGGATGTGCTGCACGTTCTTGAGCCGGTGCTGCACAGCACCGCTGTCCCCACCCTGCCGACGATCACCCCAGGTGAAGCAGGATCCATCGCCGAGGATGGCAGCAAAAGCGGACGCATTGTTTTGAACTTGAACTCTGCCTACGTGTAATACGAGGGTGTCACCATTCTTCAGCCTGGCACGCTTGATCTGCGCAGATACATCCAGTATGCTTCCAGATGAATCCACCAGCCGCCCCGTTCCCACGCCAAGTGCGGTCTCGGCTCGATGTTTCACTGTTCCCACGTCTTCATTCACGTCAGCCTTCACAGAAACGCTTTTGCCACTGAGCAGTCCGATGTCCAGAGAAATCGACATATTGTACGCCGAGGGAAGCCGTGCTGACGTTCTTGCTACAATTGTATTACCCCCGGCACTCCCAGCATGTGCTGGGGAAGACCAGCCGAACACATACCTCGGTAAGACCTTCAGAAGCTTTCCTAGACGTCACCGAGTAGGAATCAGACGTAAAACTTACAACAAGACATAGACCTTACCACCAAGCTTCTTCACCTATCATACGATTTACAAAATGGGCTTTGCAGCTGTATCCAGGCTTCGGGGACCTCATGGGGAGCATGGGATTAAGATTTTTAGCACATATGACGATTAAACTGGTTTTTGAGGGATTATGGTTCAGGGTTTAACTATATTCAGGGTTTAGGGATCTATGAGGATGAAGCCGGTTTTTGAGGGTTTAGGGCTAGGCCCATAGAAGTTCCGGCAGGATGCCTCGCTCCCAACCCAAACGGTCTCAAGCTTTATTCTGCCTTCTTGTTAGGGAGCTATAGTACTCTAGGATACCCAGTAACCTAAGAATAAAAAAGCCTCTCTTTTTGGTATTGGGTAACTTTATAAGGAACCTAGGACTACAAAAAGGGAATAAGGGTACTACTGGGCATCCTAGTACTATTCAATATGGTTTCTTTCTTATGGTAACTTGAATTAAACCCCTTAACAATGAAGCCAGTATTCCTGGATCTCGAGCCGACGCAGAAAGCGGATGGATAGTGGGGTCCCGTGCTTTGGACATCCTGCTGGCTTAGGGCGTATAACGTACCCAAAGGCTCCATGTACTTTAATAGTAGAAACTTAAGCCTTAAAGGGGCATAGGTACTTTAAGGCCAAAGTATATACTGTATGGGTACATGGAGCCTTAGTGGTACTCGAAATGTAAAACAAATAATATAGTATAGTATACAAATGATGTTATAGTATAGTAGGTTTGGGGGATCTGTGATTAAGGATCCGACTACGTGAGATGTATGCCAGGGTCCCATATTGTCTGCAACTCCCTCCTACATCGCTTGAAACTCCGAGCACGCAGGAAAAGCAACCCTAAACCCTAAAACCAAACCGTAAACCTAGAACCCTAAAACCCTAAACCTTAGCCCCTTGAGACCTTAGGCAGAGCAACCCGAAAAGCCGCAAGCCCTACCCTAAGGGTCCAGGTACTCAACTGGGGTTCTTTTAAGGGTTCCCTTAAAGGGCACTATAAGGGTGTTATAGCATCCCTTTTAAGGGTTCCTTTAAGGGGTACTACAAGGGTTCTAATGGGTTCATTTAAGGGTTCCTTTAAAGGGCACTATAAGGGTTCTGTAGGATTCCTTTAAGGGTTCCTTTAAAGGGTACTATAAGGGTTCTAATGGGTTCATTTAATGGTTCCTTTGAAGGGCACGATAAGGGTTCTATAGGATTCCTGTAAGGGTTCCGTTAAATAAAGGGTAGTATAAGGGTTCTAATTGTTCATTCAAGGGTTCCTTTCAAGGTTTCTATAAGGGTTTAAGGGTTCCATAAGGGATCTGCAAGGTTCTACCAAGGGAATCATAAGGGCTCTGTAACCCTAAGGATCCACGTGCTCAAATAGTGTATACATCGGCCCCAAAGTACCTACATAGGGACTAGGGGCCAATGTACGTTTACATCTTTAATTTATATGGATTCTTGTGTACATGGACCCTCTGGGCTACCTAGAGTAAGCCAGGTATCTAACAAAAAGGAAACGTACCCATGTTCTGAAGTCATATCACCCTAAACCCTAAACCCTGTCATAGGGGCCGTTCTTTAAATTAGGGCCCCTTCTAAGGTCCTTTTCACAAGGGTGCCGTACTATTCCTGGGACCAAAATCTACGATCCCTTTGACTACAACCTCAAACCCCTCTAACCCAAAGCAAGGCTTACGCACAACTACAGCTTGAATGAAACCGTCAATATCCTCTCCAACACCTTGAAATTCCATCAACACCTCACACCCCTAAACTTTATCCAAACCTTCAATGCCCTATAATAGTATTATATAACCCCTATGTGACCCTTCGAAGGACACCTTTACAGGAACCCTTTGAAGGAACCGGTATAGGAACCCACTTAAAGGAACCCCATTTAAGGGAACTTAACCCTTTAACGGAGCCCCGTCAGGAACCCTTACATGAATCCTGAGAAAGTTGAAGGTATCCCAAACCCCAAACATCGCCAAACCCTAAAACCTGAAACCCTCAACCCTAAACCCTAAACCCTAAACCCTAAACCCTAAATCCTAAACCCTAAACCCTAAACCGTTCCTTACGGGAACCCTTTAAAGAAAGCCTTAGCCTCAAAGGGTCCTATGTACTGTTATGGGGAATACTTCCCTAAGTCATAATAGTAATTCCTAACATGGAAACCCTACATCCTACTATATCGGTACATAGGACCCTTTGGGATTTATAAGGGCTCTATGAGGAATCTATAAGGCACCTATATAGGGAACCTAGAGGTTCTGAACCTTTTAGGGTTTTTTAGAAAGCCTTAACCGCTTTGCCGAGGATCCATCCATAGCCTCGGACCCCCGTGGCGCGTCGGCGAGGCGCTCGACGACGATGCGGGGCTGCCCCAATCGGAGATTGGGTAGGGTTTAGGGTTTAGGGTCAAGGGTTTAGGGGCTAGCAGGGTTTAGGATTTTGGGTTGGGGTTCAGGGTGGGCTACTTAAGGACTGGGGAATGCAGAGCCAGGTTTTTGGTCTCTTGGTTGCTTTGCCAATTAATTGCATTGTGTGCTCTACTTGCATGTATCTTGAGACTTCGTAACTATTGTGAAGGGCCACTGCCCGGTTAACATTTCACGGCACTGGCCTTCTCCAACTCAGGGTTGCAAGGTATACGTAGGGAGTGTAGAAACGTTGATTGGGAATAATGCTCAAGTATAGCCTGAAATTATACGGATCTTGGTCTCACTTGAGAACCAGTTGTAGATGCCTTCTTGACCTCTTAATCCCACTGGCATTCTGTCTTTTGCGTTGTTGTGATGCTCCAGGGGTCATGGTTGCTTTGCGGGCTGCAATAAGCCCAGGCCCTAAATCCTAAACGGCTTCGGGTTTGCTGAAACATACGGAGGTCCTTATGACGTGCTAGGTGTCGACCATGCTTCGTGTCATCAGGTTTCAGGATGTAATGCGGGTGTAGAGGGTCAGGCGCCCGACTCAGACTTTAGGAGTTAACCTACCTAAACCCTACCTGTGGCCCCAAACCCTACAAAATAGTAGGTTATGACCCCTTCATTAGAGGGTAGAACCCTTTAAACGGTAGGGTTTCGGATCCCCAGGTAGGAGTTAACTTACCTAAACCCTACACTCTAAACCCTAAACTTTAGGGACGAATACATACAGGATGGCGGGGCTTGCGATGAGACTTGATAAGTACGATGACTCGCTTGTAGCGCCACTCTAGGGAAACCCCGGTAGGGTCTTACAGGATATAAAATAATATGAAAACCCCCCAAAACGGATATGGGATTCTAAATATGAGCCCCCAAAAGGTCCTAAAGTTGCGGCTATTTGAGTCGTAAACAGAACCCAGCATGGGCTTCTTTCACAATCAGAACCTCAAATCCCGAAACCCAGAGCTCCCTCAGGGATGTATTTGGTTTAGGGCTTTCTTGGGGATCCAAAAACTCGCTGTTTTCAGGGCTAGACTCCATACCTACTATTCTGTAGGGTTTGGGGTCACAAGCCCAGAGGGTCCAAGTACCCAAATAGTAGGGTTTTAGGTCCCAAAGTCCAGACTCTGAATGGTTTTTGGACGTTGAAACCCTGCTATTTGGGTACTTGGACCCTTAGGGAAGTGGTCCCTAAACCCAACATCCCGGCCTCAGTGCTGCTGTCGTTGACACTCCGCATTCTTTGGATGCACGCCTTGACCGATGGCTTCGGGGTTTGGGGCGTGGGGGAAAAAGGTCTGTGCTGCGAATGTAGTATATACTTCAAAGCCTTGAAGTACCTGTTCTCTGAGGAATGTATTGTGCTATGCACTCAAGAATTCTTTCGTATTTTTCAGGATCTCCAAAAGGGAATTATCGGGCTTCGTGAGAACTTTATCCAGTTTACCGCAGGGGCTCCTGTACCTCTGCCTGTAGTGAGCGACTCTTTGAGTTGAAGAGGTTTGTGTGCAGGTGTTTCAGGGTGCAGGTTTTTTTTGTGCGAGAGGGAACACGGATGGCTAAGGTCAGGCAGTTGAACTTCAGTTTAGGGCTGGCGGCCTGAACTAATAGACTACATATTGCAGAAGCGAATCTTGCAACAGACTACTAGACACATAGTATGAAGCGCACATACTACATTGCTAAATCGTTACAAACTTTTGCGGTTCCTGATTGAGATACAATCAGTGTTGTTGAGTCGGTCTCTACAGACTCCAGTGGGGCGAAAAATCACATCGAGGCCTTCATGACCACCCCAAAATCCTTGCTCAAAGCATATCATTAGAATAAGGCGTGCTCAGGAATGTGCTAAGGAAAAGAGTTGGTAATTGTTTAGGCTTCTTTAACATGCTCCCTGAAGAGAACCTGTAGGATTTCGGGCACACTGTTGCGTGTATCTCCCAAAGTAGCTTGGACTTTGGGGTGTGAGGAACTGGATATACATGCTATGTACTTGGGCCACACACAAGCATGGCCACCTAGGTCCTAACACAGTGTATACATGCTTGGTCCATGAGCAAATTACGGTAAATTGCCAGGGTCCTTGTTGCTTGTAGTTGACTCCCATTGGCAGGCTGTTTGTACTTGATCGGAGCCCTAACCAGACTCGTCTTGAACTTATGTATTTCGAAGCCTGAAAGTTAGACTAGACTAAGGGGCTTTGGGTTAAAAGAATAACTAAAATAAACATATATAAACAAATAATTGTGTATATATATATATAACATGTATACACATGTCTGTACATATTATATTTAGATATATATATATATATGTATATATATATATATGTATGTATATATGTATATGTATATGTATATGTATATGTATATGTATATGTATATGTATATGTATATGTATATGTATATGTATATGTATATGTGTATGTGTATGTGTATGTATATATATATATATATATATGCGTCTGTCATATGTATGTATATATATATATATATATATATATATATATACATATATGTATACACATATATGGAGAACCCCTGCAGAAGACTGTTAACAACCACTCAAGGCCCTCTATTGAAGCTCTGGGGTAGCTGAGCCCACAACTACAATTCCCTAACGGTCCGTGTGCCCACATTTCAGGGGCTGAACAACCAGGGTTTAGGGTTTATGGTAGATAAAGGGATCTATAGGGGTTCCTTAAAGGGATCTATAAGGGTTCCTTCAAGGGCTCCAAAAAGGGATGTACTATAAGGTCAAAGCTCGAATCTTCGCCTGGTTTAGGGTTAGGGGTTGGGGGGCTTACAGTAGAAGCCCAAAAGTTGGAAACCCAATAGCCTCAATCCTTAAGGTTAATGTATAGGGAATCCCAGCACTATTTGGCCTTAATCCGGTTTCCAACTTTATGGGGTTTACTGTAGGGCTTAGCAAAAAAAGCTTAACCTTGCATTAGAGTGGGATTCCTAGTAGGATCATACGAGCCCCAAAGGGTACAGCTTATCTAAGTAACACAGCCCAACAAGCTTGAATTATAGTAGGGTTATATGAACTATACGAGCCCCGAAAGGTTAAAGGCTACCCACCCAGCCCCTAAGACGAAGTGCGCCTTACACTTTGATCCTCACCTGTTGTCGGAACCTTTTCCAGATCAGGCAGGTACTACTTACAGCACTGCGTAGTTCAACCGATATGCATATTTGTTCATCCTTTCAACCCCTGAAAGAGCCTAATATGGGGGGCCTTTTTGGAGCCGTTAATACTCTAATTATAGCAAGGGAAATAGTATAGGCAGATATTAAGGCCCCTATATTAAAAGAAGACCCCTTTTACCAAACCAATTCCGGTAGCAGACCCTGTATGAGACCACAAACGCCTTCGTGAGGCATGGAAGGCCTCAATCCTACGCACATGCAGCGCCGAAACCCCTAAGCCCTAAACCACATTCAACCTCAACTCTACACCCTTAACCCTAAGCCCTACACCCTAAATCACACCCTAAACTCCAAACCGACCCACTTGCGGCGCCTGTAGCGCTTCTTGGGCTTTCGGCGGAACGCCCTGGAGTCTGCAAAGCCGTTGGGTTTAGGGCTAGGGGTTTGAGGGTTCGAGGGGTTTTGGGTTTGGAGGCTTAACCCGTATCCCCAAACCCTACAGAATGGTGGGCTATGACCCCTCGATTAGAGGGTCTAACCCCTAAAAAACTCTAGGGTTTTGGATCCCCTGGAAGGGCTTGCGGTTTAGGGCTTGCGTGTTCAGGCCTTAGGGTGTGGGATCTCAATTTGGGGGAACAGGGTGTGAGTCTGAATCTACTTGGAGGTTCATGGGACTTAGCAACTACAGCTATAAGTACCTCAACTGGGGATATAATTATAGTTATAAGTTATAAGTATGGTTACCTTAATCATAACCATATTCCAACTTTCTGGCTTTTACTTTAAAGGGATCCTTTTGAAAGGGGTCTGTAAAGGATACCTTATAAAGGGATAATTATAACCGTAGTTACTGAGTCCCATGAACCTCTAAGTCGAGCCCCCGAGCCCCTCCGCCGCAAATTCTGAAGCTCTGGAAAGCCAAGACAAAAAAATAATTACATCAAACAGAAATTCACAAAACCTTGAGCCCCAGCTGTGGATCAAAAAACATACCGTTTTAAGGGTTCCACCCACCGATTCAGGGGTCATAATCTACTACAGTCTTTTGTAGGGTCTGGCATCACAGCTGCAGTGCTGACGCGGCTGCCAAAGGAGCTGCGGCAACTTCAGTTCACAGGGGTGCTGCAGAAGCTCTGGGGGACACTCGTCCCCACGATCGCGGAGTGCACGAGCAGTAAGCGAACGGATGAGCAGGTCCAGCTGCTGCGTCAGGTCCTGGTCCAGCCTGAAGTACCAGGGCTCTGTGGCCCTGCTCGCTGCCACTGGCTGCGAGGTACGTGCTTTGGTTCGAGGCAAGTGCTGCGACTCAGCCACCGTTACGGCAGACAAGGCCAAGGGAACAGGGGAACGTAGGACGGGAATGCGGTTGCTAGGCTCTCACTGGGATGCTGCTTTTCTCTACCGTGTTGGATCTGAGTGTGATGGTCCATGTACAGATCTAGATCTAGCTGAAGGATTCGGGTTTAGGGTACTCCAACCCGAAAGTACGTGTCTAAGAACCCCGCCTTTAAGGCATAGGTATATACTGTAAAGGTACAGTGACAACTGAATAAAGGCTTGAATACCTATCGATAATAACCCGAACCACCCTAGACACTAAACACTACAATCCCATACATCCTACACTCAAACCAAAAATCCAACAACCCCATAAACCCTAAACCTACAAACCCCACAAACTGCACACCTTACGCCGGAACACGGGGCCTCCAAATAGCTCAAAGCTTCACCCTAAACCGCAGAATCCCTAAACCTCAAAAACCCTCAACCCTAACAACCCTAAACCCCTAGAAACTGTATAAGCCATTATAAGCCCTATAGACCCCCACAACACCCTAAAAAACTTAAGCCCTAAACCCGAAGAACCTCTGGAAGCTCGCCGAGGACAGTAACCAGGAGGCGCCAGCGAAAGTTAGGCCACCGCTTCCTCACCCAAAGGCTCCATGTAGCTTTATAACAGACTAGGATACCCAGTAACCTAAGAATAAAAATGCCTCTCTTTTTGGTATTGGGTAACTTTATAAGGAACCTAGGACTACAAAAAGGGAATAAGGGTACTACTGGAGATCATAACAGATACTTAGGCCTTAAAGGGGTCCCTATGTAGATACTTTACGGCTAGGGTCTCGGATCGAAGCTCCATGCCAGTCGAGTTATTCAGGCCCCTAGAATAGTAAAGGCTCCATGTACCTTGCAGTAGCCCTAATCCTTAAAGGGGTCCCTATGTAGTTGCTGTAAGGCCTAAGTATGTACTACCCAGAGGGTCCAAGCACCCAAATAGTAAGGTTTTAGGTCTCAAAATCCATACTCTGAATGGCTTTTGGACCTTGAAACCATACTATTTGGGTACCCTAAACCCTAAACCCTAACCCTTAGGGCTATATGGGCACATGGCCACCGCTTCCTCAGTGTTGGGCTGAGGTTCTTCTTGAGAGTTCGCAGGGATCCCAAGTCGTACGGCTGATGATAGAACTCCTGCATTACCTTAGGGACCCCATACTATGGGAATTATTGTATATTCCTTGTTTTGGGTAATGCAGGATTTATGGGGTAGATAATATGGAATATACCATAATTCCCATAATTTACGGTCCTTAGGGTAATGCAGGATCTATATCATCAACCGTATCCCTTATGGGTGTTGACCTGTAGCCACAAACACTGTAGGTTATGACCCAGGGGCTAACCCTGAACACGGTAGGTTTCTGGATCCACAGATAGTGTTTAGCAAGTAGAGGGTACCCAGACCTTCCACGATCCCTGCATGAAGAACTATAGCTTAGAATGTAGAAGGATCTCGTATGAATTCAAGTATATTCCTCAATTAAAAGATTTGGGAAGGCCTGCGAAGCCGAAGCCCCATACCCTAAACCCCCCAAAACCCGGAAATCCTAAACCTCTAGTGTACCCTAAATACCCGCTATTAAGGCTATTAAGGACCAGCAGGGCTCTATTATATAAGGGGTACTTGGGGTGTCCTGGTTAACCGCCTTGACCTTAATCAAAGGGATCTTGGAAGGTCGGGGTCGTTGCAAGTTCAGCTCGGCCTGCCGCAAGCATCTAAAGGTTCAGACCTTCCAAATTTCTTTAAGTACGGAATATATACATTAAGTCATATTATGAAGGAGCCTACTGTAGTTGAAGATATAATCCATAAGGGATCTTTGAAGGTCTAGAGGGTCGTTGCATCAGGGTCCAATTTACGGCTAGTTATGTCTTGAGGCCCTAACCCCTAAACCCTAAGCCTCTTGAGGATCACAGCACAAGCAGAGGTGACAGTGAGGGTTTGTACAAGGTTTATTCTTTGAGTTTAGACTTGGAGTTTATAACACGGCTCATCGCTGTGAGATTTATGGCACAAGGAGGGTTCAGTGCCCCAAATGTTTGATCGAGCTGCTCCAGCAGTGAGCTGAATCGCGCCACCTGAGTCGCTGCGCTGACCCAGGCCCTAACTCCTGACCCAGTGCCCTGAGAATCTACTCATGGATGTCGGGCTTCGCCTGCACAAATTTTAGGTTCTAGCTTCTAGCTTCTAAAGGCTCCCAGGGGTCTGTCGCAGCCACAGAATGGAAGGTCAGAAGAGCTAGGGCAGTTTGAAGTTGTGTCTTTCCCTGCCTGGAGAAACCACATCAGGATTCTCATTTTTTAGAGGAGCCTGAATAATAAGAATAGACAGATCGATTATAAGTTTAGCTACTATTACTAGAGGGCCCTATCGATTTTCGTGGCTGAGGAAACCACAAACAAAACCCCCACCCCAAAATAACCCCAGAGCCCAAACCCTATGCGCCAAATCCGATGTCCCAACCCATAAGCCATAAACTCGCCAAGCCGAAGTTGCCGCAAAGCAATATAGTGTGATCTTTTTACCAAAAAAGAGTCTTGTAACAAGAGCCTCAAAAGCTGAGTCCTGAAAGCCCTGAAGAGGCAAACAGTATACTCTAAACTCCCAAACCTTTTATTAGCCCGAAGAGGCCTAAACTCCCCAAGCTATAAATCCCAAGACCGTAAACTCCTTAAGGTTCTGGACTCAACAACCCTACAAAACCAATCCAATCCCATGAACAGGAACAAAATCATAAAACCCCGGCCAGCAGCCCCCAACTACCCTCCATCATACCCTAAGTACCCACTACGGCTGATGGACAAAATCCTGCATGACCCATAATAGGGAATATAAAGAAATTATGGTATATTCCATTATTATGGATCATGCAGGATTTCTATCATCAACCGTATTAAGGTTCATAAGGGCTCCATTAAAGCTTACTTGCAGGGTGTTGGGGCCCGGAAACCTAAACCCTAAACCCTACTTAGGGTTCCTTAAGGGTCCCTTTAAAGGGATCTATAGGGGTTCCTTAAAGGGCTCTATATGGTTTAGGGTTTAGGGTCTATCTTAGAGGTTCATGGGACTTAGTAACTAGGGTAAAAACTAAGGTAACTACACTTATATGTACTTACAACCAGAATTAGGGTACTTATAACTGTACTTACTAAGTACCTTGAACCTCCAAGCAATTCCTAAACCCTAAACCCTATAGATCCCTTTAAGGAGCCTTTTAAGGAGCCCCTCAAGCACTTACTAAGTACCTCCAAGAAATTCTAGAACCCTTGCGGACCTCCTCGGGTAGTCGGCGGGCAATGTTTACGAAGTGCTTCGGCTGGGAGAGGTCCCGCAGCCTGAAGCAAGCATGTGGCTTCTATGACCCTAAACCGTAAACCCTAGGGTTTAGGGTTTAAGGTAAAATCTAAACCCTAAACCCTAGACACGAAGCCCTAAACCGTTTTGTGTTTATAAACCGGATCTTTGTGTTTGTTCAGACTCCGAATAGGAAACAGGGCCTTTATAGGTCGCTGGGGCTGTAGGGCTTATGGCTTAGGGATCTGGGACGTAAGAGCTTCAGAGCTTACGGGCATGGGGTTCAGGTGGGGTGTTGTGATAGTTCTTGCTAATGCTCTGCACGGCTTTACGGTTTTAGCGGTTATGTTTCGAAGCTGGGACCTGATGTTGACGAACCCTAAAGGGTCCATGCACTCCAATAGCATATACTTTGGCCCAAAGTACCCATATAGGGACGATTTTAAGGCCTAAGTATAATTATTAAGTACAAGTATACTATGTGGGCACACGGACCCTTAGGGGCAGAGTTTTACTGGAGGCCTGGCATTAATTACTAGAGGGGGGCCTAGAGGGGAATGTCTGTAGCGAGAACTCGCAGCAACACTCTGCGCTGGTTCCTGCGGCCCCTGTCGTAGGTCTATGAGGTTTTCCTGTCCAGGGATTGTGGCCGCATCAAGAAGTTGCGGAATCTATGGGGAGTGATCTGCTGAATGTGTGCTGCATAAGATTGCAGTACCTGTGTCCCCAAACCCTACAAAATAGCAGGTTATGACCCCTTAACGGGTCTGACCCTTAAAACGGTAGGGTTTTTGGATCCACAGGTAGTCCATAATAGGGTTTGCGGGGCTTTCGACGTCATGCATCTTCAGCCTTGATTCTGTGGGATTACGGCTTCGATAGTTTCACCCTAAACCCAAGGAACCTACCTTTGTGAGGACTTATATAAAGAAATCATATTCGGGAACCCTAAAAAAAACCGGTTCCTTAGGGTCCAGGCAGAGCTTGAAAAAAAGCCAATAAATCTGAACCAGGAAGCCAAGCTAAGCACCATGTCATCTGCCATTTGTCTCATTTGCTGCGACATGCGAAGCCCGAAGCACTACGGTTGATGATATAAATCCTGCATTACCTTAAGGACCCCAAACTATGGGAATTATGGTATATTCCCTATTATGGGTAATGCAGGATTTATATCATCAACCGTATGAGTACCGAACTCAAGCCGCCAGACTCAGTGTTGCGGCGGAGGGTTTCGATATCTTAAACCCTGAGGCTTCATGTACGCACACAGTATGTAACCTATGCCTTAAAGTATCTATATAGGGACCTCTTTAAGGCTTAAGCATCTACCATTATGGTACCATGGACCCTTATACCCTAAACCCTATTAAGGGAGCCTTTGGGTTAAAGCTGTCAGCTCTGGGTCATATGGCTGGGTTTCGGGTCATTACTTAGAAGTTCATGGGATTTAGTAACTAGGGTTATAATTAAGGTAACTATACTTATAACTGATCGTAACCCCAGTTAAGGTACTTGTAACTGTACTTGCTAAGTCCCATGATCCGAGTAGGAATTATAGTCGTAGGACCACTGATATGACTTAAGGAATATACCTTAAATTATAGTAGGATCCCTGATCTGACTTGAGGAAGATTCCTCAATTAAAGGGTATGGGAGTCTCTGGGTAGCAAGGGCCACCACGCGGCCTCAGAGTGTAGAGGAACAGCGTGCAATAGCCAGAGTCCTCAATGAGGGCCATGAATCGCCTGCGGCGGGGCAAAAACAGGGTCCCTTTAAGGGCTCCTTTTCAAGGGGTCTATAAGGGCTCCATAGTAAGGGCTCTCATAAGGACTGAGCGCCCCCCCCCAAAATAGAATGAGAAATTATGTAAGCCCCTATATTACCCCTGAAGCATAAACCTTAGCCGGCTCTAAAGCCTTCAACAGGTGGGCTCCTACCCAGACCTTCCGAAATCCGGCAACTAAGGAATATACCTGAAGCCAATCCTACTATACATCGGCAGAATGATTTAAGGTATTATTCCTTGATTTAGGGATGTCGGATCCCGCTACAATGATTTTCAATAAGGTATATCCCTGACTTAAGGTAAGGTCTGGGTACTTCAGGGTCGAGATATCTACACAGGCACATGGGCCCTGGAGGGTTGCTAATTAACCCTACAATCTCAAACCCTGCCAGGACCCCCCCAAGTGCCCTTTAAAGGGCTCTGATATTATTTCTCATTAAGAAGTATAATTTGGAGCTGCAATAAAGGGTAGTTGGGGGGTTAAGGTCAGCCCAAACCTTCACGTCCGAACCCCAAACTCAAAAAACTTCGAATTTACAGCAACGGAGCCTACACAGTCAAACATCCTACACTTACACCGCCAACCTTAAAAGTCCTACGGATACGATATTGGCAGCTTCTCACCACTGCGTCTACAATGACCTCTAGTGCAGTTCGCTACTACTACTCCTGCTTCATTCCTTTTGGGGGGCGAAAACCATGGTACGACAGGAGCGTATTGACACCGTTCCGGCGACGAGACCACATCACATGTTGTCTTGCGACTCTCGTTCACAGCAGTATCAGGGACAGTGTCGTCCTCGTCCGTGGGGGCCTCAAAGGCCCGGATGCCTTCTGTCATAGGGATCCTTAGGGGTGTAGGGGGGGGGTTTAGGGGACTATATTTTCTTAAATAGTCCTTATTAGTTCTTATTATGGGCATTAAGGCCCCCTCCCCCCCCTCCCCCTACACCCCTAAGGGTCCCTATGAGTCTTCTGTCGGTGCTTCGGTGCGGCCTTCGCAGCATCGTTCAAGTCGGCGACCTGGTCCGCCGACAACATCCCCATCACCAACGTCATTATGGCGATGATCCCGGAGAGCCCACAGGGTCCTATGTACTGTTATAGGGGATACTTCCCTAAGTCATAATAGTAATTCCTAATATGGAAACCGTACATTCTACTATATGGTTACATACGGTTGATGATAGAAACCCTGCAGGACCTTAAGGACTCTAAACTATGGAAATTATGGTATATTCCTAATTCGGAGTAATGCAGGATTTTGTCCATCAACCGTAGGACCCTTTGGGGAAGCACGCCAACTTAGCCATCTCTCGCCAAGCCTAAAGGCGATGCGAACCACCGGTAACTGAGGTGGCTTCCCCAAAGGGTCCAAGTACCCAAATAGTAGGGATTTAGGTCCCAAAATCCATACTCTGAATGGTTTTTGGACTTTGAAACCCTACTATTTGGGTACTTGGACCCTTAGGGTTCCCTAGTTAGCTAGCAATGCTTCCGCACCTTTAACATGTAGCAGGACTTCCGTTGTGAAAAGTGAAACTCATGACAACCATATGCTTTCGAAGACTTCAATTTCCAGAAACTAAATTTTGAAGCGATCATGCTGGTGGTTAGGCCGCCACGAAGCAATCCCCGCTAGGTGCCAGGCTTCTGGATATGTCTCGGGGCATCCTTCAAGCAAACACACATGTCAAACGGAGCCCTCTATCCTGGAACCCTGAATGCCCTGAACTTAGGGCTGAATCAGGGTTTCGGGGTTTAGGAGCTTAGGAGGTTGAGGGTTTAGGAGTTTAGGGATTTAGGGCTTAAGGTTTAGGGCAAAAAGGCATCGCCGTGTCAGTGCCTCGTCCGACGCTGGTACGTCTGGTAAACCTGCTGTAAGAAGCGGGGCTAAAATTCTGCGAACGACGGATGATTGTTAGTTTGCCGTGGTTTACTCAGCAACGCTATATAGGGGGTTGAAGTTTGAGCGATCGTCAAATGTAGAGGCCTTCATAGGTTCAAGTGGGGCTGTGTATCTATACTCTGCGTATAACGAAGGACTACAAAACAATGAGAGTTGCTTCCGAAAAGGCGCTAGAATCATATGACACCATCACAAAACAAACACACACACACACACAGACATTAACAACACAAAACACAAGGAATTGTACATACACATACGTATATATATATATATATATATATATATATATATATATATATATATATATATATATATATATATATATATATATGTGTATATATATATATGCACATACATGCATTGGAAGATACATACATACATATATATATATATATATACACAGAGAGAGGGAGAGAGAGATACATGATTGAAACTTAGCCGGGAAGCATCTGGATCACGAGGATCGTCGTGAATGTGCGCAGAAGGGATGAAACCGCCATTCGGCTGGAGAAAACCTTGCACTTCAAGGCTTTGAAGATTGTGAGATGGATTAGGGTTGAGGGTAGGCTTCTGTGCAGTGGTCGATGGTCTTCCTGTGTAGCATCCAGGGTCCCCAGTTGCCGATTGATGGTTTGAAGATCGTCTCACTATACGCACCTAGACTGAATTGTACTACCTTGTTTGGTTTCCGTCCTTTCTTCTTAAAGGTCCCCATTATAAAGTGGCGAGACATGAAGAAGGCAGTCAGGATAGATCATACCTAACTCAGCCCTAAACCCTGAACCCTTAACCGCCCCTAAACTATTTGCTTAAGAACCCCCCAAAAAATAAAAAAAAACAATAATCCCTATATTATCCCTATAAGGAATATATATATATATATATATATATATATATATTTTTTTTTTATTTTTCGGTGGTTCTTAAGCACATAGTAGCTAACCAGGAAGCCTCAACGCTAAACCTTTGAGCCCCGAACCGGGAGTCCCTGTTTGCCATTTTCTGAAGCCAGGATTTTAGGGTTTGAGGGTTTACCCTAAACCCTAAACCCTAAACCCTAAACCCTAAACCCTAGAGTGCAGGGCCAGGGTTTAGGGCTTGGGGGGGGGCTTAGGGCTTTACGGTTTACTTGGAGGATCATGGGACTTAGTAAGTAAGGTTATACTAGGATACCCGGTAACCTAAGAGTAAAAAAGCCTCTCTTTTTGGTATTGGGTAACTTTATAAGGAAATTAGGACTACAAAAAGAGAATAAGGGTACTACTGGGCATCCTAGGAAGCCTAAAAGCTTCAATCAGAAAGCCGTAAACTCCGAATCGGTTTAGGGCTTAAGATTTGGGATATAGGGCTTTAGGGTTTCAAAGGGCTTGGCGGGCTTCCACATCCGAAAAGCCCTCACCTGAAACAAAAATCCTTGGAACCCAGACCCTACGGTAAACCAGCCCCAGAAGTGTTCAGCCCTCAGCCCAAGACATCCTTTAACCCCAAAGCCTGAGCCCTAAACCCCAAACATCCCTAATCCTTGAGCCCGACAAGCCCTAAGCCTCACACAAAGGACGAAATTACCTGGAACGATGTAATTATCGTAATTATACTTGGGTTGATAGTGTTAAGTTAAGGCTCATATGGTGCCTAAGTTCGTAGAGGTCCTACATAAACCAAAACTCTTGAACGATAAAATAGAATTCCAGGCAACCACAGTTCCCGACGGCGTTGAGGTGCGGCAGTGGGGCCATCTTCGACACATAGTCGGCAAAGGGAGGTTCGCGGAGGAGGCACTCCTTAAATTAAAGCTTTGGGGCTTTTACAGCTAGGGTTTACCTGTATCCTGAAGCCCTACAAAATAGTAGGTTTGCACCCCTCAATCAGAGGGTCTACCCCCTGAAACGGTAGGTTTTTTGGATCTGCAGGAAAGCCCTGAACCCAAAGCTCCAAAACCCCCTTAAAGCCTCTGAAAAATATTCGTAAATAGGGTCCTACTAAGCCCAATAAGGGAAAATATAAAATGTCCCAAAGGCCTACCTAGTATAGATCGCTTATAGGGACCCCTATGTAGAGCTTTAGCATTTACGGGCCTAGGTTAGAGTTGAGGGTTTAAGGCTCGGTCACGGGTTCTGGGCGCCAGAAGCAAATGACTACCGAGGTTGGAGGGTCATGTGCCCTAAACCCTCAACCCTAAACTCTAAGGACCCTAAACCCTGGGCCCGCTTCAAAAGCTTCTGGGATCGGATCCGAACAGGTTCGGGCAGATTTTGTTCGGTTTATCTTGGATTTCAGCAGGGCAGCACGCTTCAAGGCGACTGGAACCCTACCCAAAGGCTCCATGTCGTCTATGGTACATGCTTGAGCCTTAAAAGGGTCCTATATAGGTATGTTAAGGCTTGGGTATACACTACATGGGTACCTGGGGTTCAGGGCTAAACATTCTGGAAGCCTGCCTGCCACACGTTCCCGTGCATGGAGCCATTGCAGAATTGAGAGTTTACTGTGTGGTGCTTGGGGTTTATAGGGTTTGGGGGTCAGTTTAGGTTTCCTAAACCCCAACCCTAAAGCCTACACAGTAAACTACAAACCCTGATTTTTCGAAACCTTGGTTCCTTAGCAGCTCCTTCATGATAAGGGCGCCCAAATTCCGAATACTTAGGAACCTGAAAACCCTGAACCCTAAACCCTTAAACCCCTAAACCGTTAAACCCCTAAACCCTAAACCGTGCTTGAACCCTAAACCCTGAACCCCTAAGACCCAATGTGCAAATCCTACCGCTGCCGAGCTTCGACAACGAGTTGGAGGCCAACAGGAGACTGCCAAACGGATTGCCTTGAGAGAGCGCCAGACTAGGGTCCCTTCACCCAGAGACTCCAATATCCCTTAATTAAGGAATATTCTTTAAATTATAGTAGGATCCCTAATATGATTTAAGGAATATTCAATAATTAAGGGATATTGGAGTCTTTGGGCAAGGGTTCCTTTTTAAAGGGGCCTCAATGATCAGAATGGGGCTCCTTTAAAGGAGCCTATGAGGGCTACTACAAGGGATATCGAGGGATCTATAAGGGTCCTTTTAAGGGGATCTATAGGGTTTAGGGGTTTAGGGTTGTTTAGGTGGGTTTACAGTAGAAGCCAGAAAGTTGGAATATCATTATCGTAACCCCTTTAAGGTAAATTATAGGGGATCCTACCATTAACCCTTTTCCAACTTTCTGGAGTTCCCTGTAAGGGCAGGGTTCGTTTGAAAGGGTCTATAAGGGCTCCAAAATGACGCTGAATAGCATTGGCAATCATTTTCGTCCCCCACACGGAATGGGTTCGAGGTAAAGGATCGTAGAGCCCTGACCGCTGTCAGGGTTTTGGCTTGCATGGTGCTATATGGGCTTTATTCGTGCTTCCTATGCTGTTTTGGGGTTAAGGGGTCCCTAAACCCTAAGCCCCTGAACCCCTAAACCCCTACTTGGAGGGGCAAGGGACTTAGTAAGTAGGTTATAAGTAGAGTTATAAGAACCCTAAATGGAGTTACCCCAACTATAACCCTACTTATAAACGGCTTACTAAGTCCCCTGCCCCTCCAAGTAGACCCTAAACCCTAAACCCCATAGATCCCTTTAAGGAGCCCTTTAAGGAACCCTTAGTTCCCGGCCCCTCCGAGAGGACCCTATAAACCCTCGGAAGTTAAGGGTCGAGGTAAGGGGTTCAGGTGGAGGAAAGTAGGGGTTCCTTAAAGGGATCTATAGGGTTTAGGGTTTAGGGTTTACTTAAAGGATCATGGGACTTAGTAACTAAGGTTATAAATAAGGTAACCACGCTTATAATTACTTCGAACCCCAATTAAGGTACTTATGACCTTACTTCCTAAGTCCCATGATCCCCATGATAGAACCCCTATAGATCTCTTTAAGGAACCCTATTATAGAATCCTATAGTACCCTTGTTAAAGTACCCTTATTAAAAGGAACTCTAAACATGACTTACTAAGCCCCATGACCCTCCAAGTAGTAGTAGTAGTAGTAGTAGTAGTAGTAGTAGGAGTAGTAGCAGCAGCAGCAGGAGTAGTAGTAGTAGTAGTAGTAGTAGTAGTAGTAGTAGTAGTAGTAGTAGTAGTAGTAGTAGTAGTAGTAGTAGTAGTAGTGGTAGTAGTAGTAGTAGTAGTAGTAGTAGTAGTAGTGGTGGTAGTGGTAGTGGTAGTGGTAGTGGTAGTGGTAGTAGTAGTAGTAGTAGTAGTAGTAGTAATAATAGTAGTTCGACCTTCCAAAATCCCTTAAGTAAGGCATACACCTTAATTCATATTAGGGATTCTATTATAATTTAAGGTACATTCCTTATTTAAGGTATTTTGGAAGGTCTGGGTAGTTCGGCCGAAGGACCTTCAGGAACCCGACAGACCTTTTGGGAGCCCGAGGAACCTTTCGGTATTGAGGCTACCAGGGGTTCCTTAGAAGGATTTATAAGGGTTCCTTTAAAGAGCTCCTATAAGGGATCCATAGGGTTTTGGGGTTTAGGGTTTAGGGCTTACCTTAAGATCCGAAAACCTACGGTTTTAAGGGTTCTACCTTCTAATTAATTGGCCTACAGGGTCGCAAGTGCCCTTTAATAGAGCCCTTATGTCCTTAATTTAATAGTAGCTAGCTGGTGTACAATAGAAGGCAGTTGGGGGGTGTATGTACACCTTTCACCTTAAACCCTGAACCCTGAACCTCAGTGGCCCAAAACCCAAGGAAATAAAAGTTGAAACTTTCAGAATCGACTACCTTATATGAACCCCAAAAGTTGAAAAGTTGAGTTTACAGCCAATCAGTAACTAGGATACCCAGTAACCTAAGAATAAAAAGGCTTCTCTTTTTGGTATTGGGTAACTTTATAAGGAACCTAGGACTACAAAAAGGGAATGAGGGTACTACTGGAGATCCTAGTTGGGCCGGTATAAGTGGGGTAGAGGACCTGCATGGTTAGAACGCGATTTTGTGGTATAATCATCACAGGGACTATGAGTCACTGCAAGGGGATACTACTGCCAGTAATTAGAAAATCCCATATTGAAACAAGCTTGCGATGCCCTTACAAAACCTGTCTACTACAAAGTTTTTCGATCCAAGAAGTATCGACGAGCCGCTCGCTGCTGGTCCAGCCGTCCGATCCTGTCATGAGCCTGGGCTTCGAGTGTTCGAGGCTTTTGATGGCTCTAGGGCAAAGTTTAGAACTGCTTTAAAGGGTCTAGGGTTTAGGGGTTCAGGGGTGGGGTTTAGGGGTTTAAAGGATTAGGTGTTTAGGGGTTTAGGGTCTTTACGAACTCTGTATATGAGTATCTGTAGAGTTGTTTGGGTTAGGGCTCCCGTAAAGAGACGCTTCAGAGTGTTCTGAGGGTTTAGGCATCAGGACGTTCGGATTTCGGGTTTGTTAGTGTTGGGGTGTGAGTTTTGAGGTGTGAACAACCCCGAGCCCCCAAACCTCAATGAAAGCTTACTTGGAGGGTCGGGGGACTTAGTAATTAGGTAGTAAGTAGACTTATAAGTACCCTAAAAGGGACCCTAATTGGGGTTATGGTACTTATAAGTCCCTAAAATAACCAGTTACTAAGTCCCCCGACCCTCCAAGTAGTGGTTGAAATTAGGGGTTTAGGGCTTAGGGTTTGGGGATTCTAGGGGGTCGTGCACCCTAAAACCTACCTAGGCCTTCTTCCACAATCCCTCAGTTAAGGATGATACCTTCAATCACGTAGAAACCCTAATATGAATTATCCTAAATCCTTATAAACCCTATCCACTGACTAATTACCTTATAGAGCCCTTATACATCCCTATTCACAGAGACGTCAAGATTCAGAGACGGCAAGGAAGGTTCACTGCGAAAACCAGCGGAAACTGATAGGGTTGAGGGTTTAGGACGCACCCACAGTCAGAGGGTTTAGGGTTTAGGGTTCAGAGAAACCCTCCGATTCCCAAAACACACAACTCACAAGCCTGACCCCTTGAACAGCCCTGCAACTCGGTCGTACAAGATTGCGCTGTAGTACCACGCACACGGGTCTGACCTGTGAGGGAAAATCAACAAAACACGTCGGCCGTGATTTGGGTTGCCACTTCACATCAGTGGCCTGCCTGCGACCCAACGGCTTCCCCAGAGGCTCCATGGGCATGTATAGTAGATGCTTAAGCCATAAAGGGGTCCCCATACAGGTACTTCAAGGCCTGAGTATATACTCTATGGGCACATGGAGCCTCAGGGTTCTCTGGTACACGGCCAAAACCGTCACCGTACTTCTCCATGTGACTTTACATGTGAGGGTGTGGGCATGATGCAAATGGTCCTTTAAAGGGATCTATAGGGTTCCCATTAAAGGAATCTATAGGGCTTCCTCTGAGGGGGCTATAGGGTTTAGGGTTTATAGGGGTTTAGGGTTTAGGGTCAACCCTAAAAAAGGAATTGATGCTAAGAGTAACCTAGGGTTCCTTAAAAGGTTTCCTTAGAGGGAACTATCAGGGCTCTATAAGGGAGTTCAGGAAGAGTACCCTTAAAGGGAGACCTGTACTGGACCCAAGAGTGACCTAGTAATACAAAGAGGGTTATAAGGGAACCTAAACCCCCAAAGAAAGGAAGATGGGCCTACTCTGGGTCCTAGTAAGAATTCGGGTTCCAGTAAAGGATTCGGCCTGACTATTTGGCTCCCGAGCTGGTCCTCTACCAGTCCCGGACATGTACAAGGAACTCCTCCTTGCCGTTGCCTCACTGGTTTAGGGTTTAGGGTTTTGGGTTTAGGGGGCCCAAAACCCAAGGAACTACAAATTGAAACTTTCAGAAACGACTACCTTCGAAGAACCCGAAAAGTTAAAAAGTTGAGCTTACAGCCAATAGGTTGCTCTTGATGTCCAAGGTAATCTTGTCGCCATACGTGACCTAGGTTGGCCCAAGGTTGGCCCTCGAAGCATCAGAAAAATCAGTAGCAAACAACATCGTCTTACGCCCGAGACATGAAACTCATATAAAAAAACACAATATCCCAAGGCTTACCCAGTGACATTCTGTCCCGCTACCATCTCGAAGCGGCAGTGACGAAGCAACTCCACTGTAGCAATCTTTGCCTCAAAAAGGGCCATGTCCATGCCCAGGCAAACCCTTGGTCCTGCTTGGAAGACAGGGAATTCGTGTGGCGACGGCGCTGTAAAGGGGATCCATCGTTCTGGTCGAAGAGCCTCTGGTTCGGGATATCTTTTGGGATCCCGGCCCATGTTGTAGGGGCAGTAACCCACCTGTGTAAAAGCTGGCACTTTCCAGCCACCGGGCAGGACGTCGTCTTCAAACGCCATCCTGGGCTTTGAAATAACCAGGGAGAAGAAAGTATAGACATATCTTTCATAATGGTTCCTTTAAGGAACAGGTACCCGAAAAAAAGTATTCAAGTATGTTTTAGAAGGGACCCCCACCCTGTAATAGTCACCATAAGGATTATATAGGATTATATTAGGGCCCTATTATATTCCTATTATACCACTATTACAGGGTGGGGGCAGCTTCTAAAGTATGTTACTCCAAACCCAGGCATCTTCACATCGAAGGGAACCGGAGGCCACAGCCGAAGAGCTTCGTAGATCACGCCGTTCCTTGTTCATGGTTGGGATAGGTTTAGGGTTTAGGGCTTAGGGTTTAGGGTTTAGGGCTTAGGGTTTAGGGTTTATAAGGTATTACTTATAGGGTTTAAGTACCCATAAACATGTAAAATGTTACCCAACTATGACAAAGGTTCAGGTAAGGCATTTCACTGGCGGAGAGGCTCTTCATGTCCAATTTTGTGCCTGGTGGCAGCTTCTGCATGATCTCCTCATGAAGCCGAGACTGAACATCCTGGTTCCGGGTGAGTTCGTAGAAGGTCCATGACAGTAAGCAGGCCGTGGTGTCTCTGCCAGCAATGATCAAATGCAAGACCATCTGCTTCACAAAATCCGCGCTGAAACCCGCCTGCATGAACAAGGGCCCCAAACCCTTTTCACAATGCCCTAAACCCTAAACCCTGAACCCTATAGACTCACGAACCCTTGAAGTCCGTGTTGAATACAGCCTGAATAAAGAGTGCCAGCAAATCTCGTCGCTCAGGAAGCCTCAGTGGTTAAGTTCCCTGGCTAACGGTCTAGGGTTTCGGGTTGCATTTTTCGCTGGTAAACGGTACGGTAGGATTATTAAAAAAAAACAAACAAAGGCTAGTGGGCTTGGCTAGTCTCTGTCATACACATCTGTACACCCCGAGTACGGTTAGCGTTGTCAAACATGTGGTAGATTTCTTTACACCCAACAAAACCCAAACCTTAAAATATGAAGTTTAAAATTTAAAAGCCCTGAACCCCTTGAAGGATACCACTCGGCTAGCAAGAAGCTGTGGATCATCATGGCACTTCTTCACCAAACGATTGGCCTCCCGATCGAGAACTCGGCATGCTGACTTCATTGCCCGGTGCTTCCGGGATAGACGGTCCCAAAGCCAACGAGCTAATCCTCCATGTTGGCCACCAAAAGGCCACCTGGGTTGTAGTTTTGGGGCTCTGAAAAGTATTTATGAATAGGTACCTCTATAGGAACCATAACGGAAATTAAAAAGTTTCCCAAACTGCCACCTAGCCACGGTAAGAACGTGCTGAACAAGAGGTAGGGCGCAATAGACTCTACAGCATGATTCCGCATGTTCGCCTGTGCCGTGTCGAAGGCCTTACCATACCTAGTTCATGGTTGGGACAGGATTAAAAATTTACACTTTTATTCCTTATTGGGTTTAAGGGACAGGATTTACAAATTACATTTATATTCCTTATTGGGTTTAAGTACCAATAAAAAAAGTGAAATGTTACCCAACTATGACAAAGATACACGTTCGGAACACCAACCGCCGTGTTGGACTCTTCACCAAAGAAGATGCGCATGATGCTGTCGAGCGTGAAGTTGAAGAAGGACGACTGCAAGTCCACCTTCAAGCATAATTACACATGGTACTTACTTGGGGTCTGAATTCTATGACCGACACCTGCTGGTGTGCTGTTTGGAGCCCCATGTCCACCTGCTTCTTTTCATCTCGAGATCTCTGCAGAAAACGACGCAAGACTTCTGCCTTCTCTATGAAAACTTCGTTCATCAGGGAGTTGAAATTCTTCCTTACTTCTCCAGCTCCCTAGAGGAACCCTAAGCTGCTCCTAAACTCTATACCTTAAACTTTACCCCCCTTAGAGCCACGATAAAAAAGCTATGTTTTTAATATTACCTTGGTTTTTTGTGAACAAAAACAAAAAATAATTCCTAAGGAGACCATAGTAAACCGTAACCCCCCCCTTAAAAGGGCTCAAGGTCACTGACTCTGCAACCAGAAAAACCTGAAGAACTCCATTGAATCCATAGCAAACCCAGAAATAAACGGCCTACTAAGCCACTTATGTTATGCCTAAGCATCCGGCTGAAGATCTGAGAAGAGACCTTGCGCATGTTACCCCAGTCTTGCCCGCGATCTTCGGAACCTACCCCATGCTTCACCACGAAAATGCCATCGCCCAGGAAATCCTGGATGTAGAAGAAGAACGGATCATACCTCAACTCTGACTTCGTGTACTTGTTGAACTCGTCCTTCAAAATGTGGCGCACGACCTCTGCATCGTTCACGATCAACATGTTCATCCCAGGGTGCCAGCTGAAGCCCAGGTTCTTGGAAACAGGTTGCCCCTGAGAAATGTCAAGACGCCAGTCGTGAATACGGTCGCGATTGGCTATTAGGTCCTTCAGCCAGCCAGCAGGTGCATCGTGGCCGGGCCCCTTCGTAGCCGGCGTGTCTTTCATAAGGCCTTTCATTCGAGAGGATGCCCTCCAACCCCATATCAAGCGGTAGATAACCTGGACAGGGCTTCGGGCGTATAAAGCTTGCAGGGTTTGCGTCCCGGGTTTATGAGGCCTGGGGTTGAGGGGCTTGGGATTTAGGGCGGGGTGAAGGTACAGACAGGGTTCTAGCCGATTCTAGCCTTCTAGCCCCTGAGCCAAGCCCTAAACCCGAAGCCTGAACAGCCCCAAAAATGCCATACCCCAGAAGGGTCGTGGCCGCCAAGTGCTTGGAAAGGGCGGACCCCCTCGAGTCATCCGTGGCCATGGCTGGCGACACAAGTTTGGCTGCAGATATGTCCCAAATTTCTTTACATACATTGAGAAGTCACTGTGTTTTCAAGGATGCACACACACACACCACTATATAGGAATATACATCACTTCTGTAACTTCGTATCTGCCATCAAGTTTGCGAACACACAAGATCTACACGATCGACTTCGACCTATCCCTGGCATCTACGCGCTTGCGCTGATGTGCCAGCACTGCATACGTTTTCCTCTCAGCAACCGACGACCCAAGGAACAAGAGATGACACATACCATGCGGATGTTAAAACCACGACGAAACCCTTAAGCCAAAACTCCTAAACCCTAATCCCTAATTCCCTAAACCCTAAACCCCTAAACCCTAATCCCTAAACCCCTAAGCCCTTAACCCCTAAACCCGAATCCCCACATCCCAAACCCTGAACAAGCCTACCTTAAACCATCAACCCTAGACCTGAAACCCAAACTTGTACAACACCCTGAACCCCAAGACCTACCCGGGGATCCGAAACCGTACCGTTTTAAGGGTTCTACCCTCTAATTTTGGGGTCATAACCTACTATTTTGTAGGGTTTGGGGCCACAGGTATAAACTTTAAACCCTAAACCGTAAACCGTAAACCTTTAACACTCAGATCTAAAACCCGAAGTCCGTAAACCGTAAACCTTTAACACTCAAATCTAAAACCCGAAGTCCTGCTATAAACCTGAAACCCTAAACTCGAAACCTGAAAGCCAAATGATTTAAGGAACATTCTCTAAGTCACGGAGCCCTTTAAGGAACCCTAGGTATCTTTAAGAAACCCTAGATAGATCCCTTTTAAAGGAACTAGGATGCCCAGTAATCTAGGAATAAAAAGGGCTCCGGTTTTGGTATTGGGTAACTTAATAAGGAACCTAAGACTACAACAAGGGAATAAGGGTACTACTGGGCATCCTCGCTTAAGGGCTCCTATAAGGGACCTTTAGGGTATGTAAATTTGGGTTTTAGGGTTTAAGGTTTCTTTCAGGAATCTATAATGGTCGCCTAACCCTGAACCCAAATATACAAATACTACCTACTTTGGGGCCTAAAGTCTATAAACAATACCTACGTTGGGCTATTTGGAGCCCCAGGGTAAAGAACCCTTAGGGTTTAGGGTTTAGGGTTACCTGAAAGTCAAGCTTGCCTGCGAGTTGCACATCGAAGGGCATCGACCTTCGCTTCCACCCTGCCTGATCGCAGATGGGAGCTTCCGAAAAAGGGGGCCCTAATATAGAACATCTTTGGGGTTCCTTAGAGGGATCTATAAGGGTTCTATAGGGTTTGGAGTTTTTGAAAGCGGGACCCTAATATAGAATAGAAAGTAGTGTTCCTTCAAAGGGTTCTATAAGGGCTCCTTTAAGGGATCGATAAAGGTTCTAGGAGGGTTTAGAGTTTTAGGACCCCTAAGATAGTACCCTGAAAATAGTAGGATCCTAGAAGGACCCCAGAATACGGTACCCCTAATTTTCGGAAACTCCCAGATCGGACTTCAAGACCCAAGGTTCCATGTGTCTTTAGGGCTTAGGGCTTTCCTGACCCTCAGAGACCTAACTTTTCAGGATCGCAAATTATTGTTTCTTTACATAAACCCGTAAAAAGCTAGGCTCTCCAGGGTCTAGGAGAGGTTCGATGTGCCGCATGCTTTTGTTTGGGGGGGGGGGGGAAAAGTATCAGTGTGGTTATGGTAAGGAGCCTTGGGACTGAGATGTGTAATCAAAACGGGGCGTTGGGGTATATCGTAGTATCGGTGGTATGGTTATCTACGATACCCAGTACCTAAGAATAAAAAGGCCTCTCTTTTTGGTATTGGGTAACTTTATAAGGAACCTAGGACTACAAAAAGGGAATAAGGGTACTACTGGGCATCCTAGTTAAGGTTAAGGAGCCTGGGGAATGGTATTGTTGATTTTGAGCTTGCGAAGCAGCTATAAGCTGTGCATGCGCATGCTCTTAGGTGCACACTACACTGCCTAAACATGCCTATTTACCACGTGATACCTTAGTCTTGGGTGCAGGGTCTTATGTAGCAGTGTAGCATCTCTGAACCGCAACTTGGATGTGAAAAGGCTGCGATCACTCAGTCTTGTGCTGCAGATAAAGACCATATACAAAGATCTCCAGACACCGGGATGAAACTCTTTTTACATAGCATATTGCGCTCAACCAATACTCAAGAACACCATAACCCAAAACCCCAAACCCTAAACCATCAAACCTAAGTGCCCTAACTCCCTATAACACTGAGACCCTAAGACCCCAAATAAAAAGCAGACACATACCCGAAAAGTACGCTAGGCTTCAACACCTCCCCCCTACCCTTCCCCCCATCCCATGCCCGTCTCTAAACCGGAAACTAAACCCTAAACTCCAAAATCCTACCCTAAACGACCCGAAACTCTAAACCCTAAACCTTAAGCGATGCCCGCCCATTTCCCCGCAGCTCCCAAACGCCAGACCCGCACCGAGAGCCTTGGCGATACGATATGCCGCCAAGCAGTTTGGCCCCAGGCTAACGACCGCATCGAAGACCATGCCATCGAGGCTCTGAATCATGACCCCTACTGAATTCTTTAGGAAGTTTAGGGTGCAGGGTTGAGGGGTTTAGGGTTATGGTTCGAACTTCGAACTTGAGTCTTTGAGAAGCTTGGGGTTCCGTTTTTCGGGAGTCAGTGTGTAGGGTTTGGGGGTTTAAGCCTTAGAGCTTAGGGCTTAGGGTTTAGGGTTTAGGGCTTGGGGTTTAGGGTTTAATTTTCAAGCCTCTGTGTAGCTGGCTTAGCGCATGTAGGGTCTGGTGTTGCAAGCTTGTAAGTTTCGGGGCTTGGGCTTGACTTGACAGTTTGGGCTTTGGGCTTCATGGTTGAGGCTTTGGAGATATGTGGGCTTCTTGGTTTAGGGTTTAAGGTTTTAGGGTTTAGGGGTTACGGCTTTTGTTTTGTTTTTCTTCTAGTAGAACTTCAACTGGGCTGCGGAGGCCATGTGCAGGGTTGAGCTGGCAAGTGCATGGCGATGAGGACCCCGGCTGCATTGAATTGAAGCCATATGCCCCTAAACGTCAAACCCTAAAACCCGAAAACGCCAAAACCGGAACTGGATCTCGAGCTTAAGACAGGGGCCTGGGTCTGGATGACAAGAATATAGTCTACCTGTTCGCGGTCCTTGTGCCTATGCATATACCTTAACAAGGTTCCCGTATAGGTAGCTTAGGGTCAGAATATATGCTACATCCATACGTCGATCCTACAGGGACAAGAACTTGTAAATTGTGGCTGGCATTTAAAGACACCACATAGGCTGCCTCCCTAAAACCTGAACTTACCTTAAACCGAACGGTTTAGGCCCTAAACCTGTAAGGTTCAGAATGAACTTCGGGCTAAAAGGCCTTGACATATGACGCCTCAAAGCCTTGCTCGGACGATCATTGGACTGTGTAAATAAGATAGAACCACAGCCCGTGCGACATGAAATAACTAATTACTCACTTTCAACTAGCCATGAACTAAATAATTAGATATTTACTTGCAAACAGGCATGAACTTTCAAGTGGAACCCCATCAAGGCAACCCGAGCAACACTGCTCCGAGAGAGACAACCGAAAAACTATCGATTCCCGCAAACACGTGTGAACAAGCCCAGCCATCTGGTGTCCGCAACAGCTGTTATGTAGACACATAATACAACTGCATGTATGCAATACATAGATATTCATTGTACTGGTGTGTGGTCTGGATCATAACAGTGCAAGCCAGCAAAGGCTTTACCATCGGGATCGCTTTACAGAGACACAACCCAACTAGCCCAAAGTGTCCGGTTGCTTCTTCCGTGTTTCCTCCATTGCATAGACTTCAAGGCTTCATTCCTAAGCCTAAACCTATAAGCCCTGACCCCAGCCTCCTCCCTAGATCCTCAGTGTTGCACCAACACCCTGAACCCCAATGTGGTATAGCGGCCTTGACAGGGTCTCGGGGCGGTAGACTCAATATATTGTCGGCCATGCGAGGGAACAAACACGAACCACCAAAACCCTGAAGCTAAAGATACCTTCGGCCCTTCTTAGCCTTGGGAAAAACAGACATGAGTAAATGAATCCCACATGCTATGTAATTCTTGTACCGTCGCTTCAACCCTCGCTCTCCGACCACACCGAACTTCTCCACCATCCCGAATCGCCCAAGGCCCTCACCAAGCTCATCTACAGGCGTGTCCTGCCGGCACAGGGAGTTTCAAGGCTTCCATCAACCCTGTGTTCTCAAGTAAGGGGCGTGTATCCCAAACCCCTTTCCGTCATACGTAAGCACATAAGACCTTATCTCATTGCTTAAACCCTTGGACCTAAAACGCCAACTCTAAATCCGTCATGGCTTGGAACATCTTCGGGCTTGCCGTAAGGTCGCAACTACCTTGCATGAGTTTCTAAAAATGTTGAGTATGGCCGCAAGTATAAGATCCCCAAAACGACATCTGCAACCGAAGCCTTCGGATGACAGGCTCGGACGCTGGATGGTAGCTCCCCGTTACTACCTAAAGGGAACTCCAGAAAGTTGGAATATGGATTAATTAATGTTAGGATCCCCTATAATTTACCTTAAAGGGGTTACGATAATGATATTCCAACTTTCTGGCTTCTACTGTATGTGGTGTTGCCCACCTCCCCCCTCCTCCCGGCCCCTCGTGGCCTGTGGTGTGGTTTCTCCGCCGCTCCCGCCCTGTGGTGTGGTGTGGTGGGCTTTAGGTTGTTTAACCCCTCTCGTGGGTTTCAGCTTTAGTGTTTAAGCCCCTTCCGCCTCCCTGTGGTGTGGTGGTGGGTGTTGGGTTTAGGGTTTGCAAGCGCGCCCCCCCTGTTGTGCGGTGGTAGTATTTAACCCCTTTCCCCCCTCCCTCTGGTGTGAAGGTGGGTGTTGGGTGTTGGGTTTCGGGTTTGCACCTGCACCCCCTTGTGGGTAGCGGGGCTGCTCAGGGTTTAGGTGTATACCTT